ACAACAAATGGTGATGAAGATTCTGGGGAAAAAGGAACCCTCATACACCATTAGTGTGAATGTAAATTAGTACAACCACTATGGAAAACAGTATGGAGGCTCCTCAAAAAACTAAAAATAGAACTATCATATGATCCAGCAATACCACCACTAGGCCTGTATCTGAAGGAATAAAGACAATAAAGACACTAGCACACCCATATTTACTGCAGCATTAGTCACAATGGCCAAGCCACGGAAACAGCCCAGATGCCCTACAACTGATGAACGGATTAAGAAAGTGTGGAATATATATACAATGGTGTATTACTCAGCCATAAAGAATGAAATTTTGTCATTTGCAGGTAAATAGATGGAACTGGAGAACATCATCTTAAGTGAAGTTAGACAGCTTCAGAAAGACAAAGGTCACATGTTTTCTCTCATACGTGCAAGACAGATCCAATACAAATACAAGCTTTATCATATATACTTTTAAGTATATACAGAACATGTTTCCAAAAGTGGTACTGTTGGAGGGGACTAAGGGAGGAGGAAAAGAAGAGAAGAATAATAGAGTGCATTATAATGAAATATATCACATCTGTGTAGGAACAAGACACAACGAAACACACTGAAAACTGTTGAACAATACAGGATAGGGGGAAAGGGGTGAGGGAGAGTAGTAGAGAGGGGGGTAGACTGATTTAAGCACCATATATTTACAGGTAAAAAACCATAGCAAAAATCCCACTGAATAAGTGAACAGACACTAAAACAATGAAGGGGAGGAAGGTAAAACAGGTCATGTTAAGGGGAGGACACTAGTGGAAGGTAGAGGGTAAATGAAGAGGGTAAAGGAGGGTGAATATGGTTGATATACTTTCTATATGTGTATGAATATAGAACATTCAAACGTTAAGAAGGGGAATTAGGTAGGAGGGAGAATAATGAGGGGATGAACCAAACTGGGGTACAATGTATATATACACACACATGTATATGTATGGAAATACCACAAGGAAACCCCCTGAATAACTATCATATAGAAATATATATATTTTTTGTAGTACTGGGGCTTGAACTCAGGGCCTCATGCTTGCTAGGCTTGCTAGGCAGGCACTCTACCACTTGAGCCACTCCATCAGCCCTAGAAATATATACATGTGTTTATACAAAAAAAATATATATATATATATTTGCAGTGCTCAAGTTTGAACTCAGGGCCTACACCTTGAGCCACTCCACCAGCCCTTTTTTTGTGATGGATTTCTCCAGATAGGGTCTCACAAACCCAGGCTAGCTTTGAACTGTGGTCTTCTTGATCTCTGCTTCCTGAGTAGCTAGGATTACAGGCATGAGCCACTAGTGCCTGGCTCTAGAAATATTTTTTTTTTAAAAAGAGACAATGGAAGCAGCCAGGTGTGGTGGTTCATGCCTGTAATCCCAGCACTTAGAAGTTGTTGGTAGGAGCATCAGGAGTTCCAGGCTGGCCTAGGCTACACAGGAGACCCTATATCAACAACAACAGAGATAGAGAGAGAGAGGCAATGGGAAAGCCTCCTGGGTTTAGTTAGAGATCTTGAAGCAAAAAATAACATAATAGGCCATTGGAAAGTTACAAGCCAAGTCACTGTGGAGGGGGAAGACAAAAATGAGAAGTGGACTGGGGTCAGGTGTGTCCATGTATATCTGTAATCCAGCTACTTGGGAGGCTCAGGCAGGAGGATTACACTTTCGAGGCCAGACAGGCAAAGGTTACTGAGACTCAAAAAACAAAAACAAAAGGGCTAGGGGCCACAGAGAACTCAAGCAGCAGGCCTTGGCTTCATTCCCCATGGGTGGAGGCCGGAGAAGTTAGCTAGGGGACACTTAGGGCTCAAGTCAGACATGAGCCTTTCATCCTCTCACAAGCAGTGCCTAAGCATCCCAGCTAGACCTGGCAATGCTTGCTCAAGGGACTCGGCCTGAGGCAGATGACACACCCCAGATCTCCTTTGAACACGCTAGGTAAAAGCCAACCCATAATTACTGTGGTGATAATTAGAGGCACTTCCATGACTTCTTTCAACAAACATTATACAAGCTGTGGCCCTCTCACTTGGGGGTGGGGGAGGAGGCGAGCCAGGTACCCCCTCCTGGGGGGAGCCAATGCCTGTACCTCCTGCCAAACACACCTGACTCCTGGGCTGAGGCCCAGAGGATCATAGATACGCCTGGGACTGCTCCAGTTTGGAGCTGAGTTCTGCTGGCATGGGGACTGAAAGTCACTCCCTGAGTGCCACCAGTTGGCAGCCTCCAGACAACTCTTGGCTTCAGATTTACTTCAGCCAGATCTTCCCAAGGGACTGTAAGACTGCAGAGATCTTGATCACAACCTAGAGTTACCTTCTAGATCTTGACAACCTTAGCCTGAGATGGTCAAGCCACCAGTCTCTGGCCCACACCTGGTCTCCTGGGATGGTACACTTAAGGTTTCTGTGGCCTGGACACCCTCCCAGCCCTGCACTTGACATAGGATCTGCATTTATGTTTTCCCAAGAGAAACTTTGGGAGTCTCTAGTTTAGACTGAGAGAAGAAAACCTTTCTCCTTTTCTATCCCATGTCTTTACCAAGCCCCATCTCCTTCTTTTCTTCCCCCAGATTTTTCTCACTGCATAGAACAGATTTCACTTCAGGTAAACCCCAAACTTTTGTTTTTCAGCTGCTTCTGTTCCATATACCCAATGTCACTTTCTCACTTGGCTTTGCTTTTTATGACTCACTGGGAACCAAAGCCCAAGTGATTTGCCCAGAGGCTCCACATGTCATTTTTGCTTCATTAGCAACATGTCTGATCTGTCTTGTTCTTCGCTCCCCAGAGAATAAGCTTCTGCACCTCCCAAAGTCACTCCTGGCAATGGCTTCTGGCCTTTCCCATGGGGCCCAAAGCCTCACTCATGCCCCTTTGAGACTCAGAATGACTGTGTGTCATGTTCAAAGGACAGCTAACTTTCTGTAAATGCATCTAGCAAAACTGTAAGAGTTCCATGAATGTCATAAATATAGGCCAGGTGTGGTGGTGCATGCCTATATCCCAGCATTTGAGAGGTAGAGGCAAGAGGATCACAAGTTCAAAGTCAGCCCTGGCAAAGTTGGAGCTCCTATCTCAAAGAAACAAAATACAAACTAAAGGTTTGGGGCATGGCTCAAGTAGCAGAGGGCTTGGCTAGCATGTGTGAGGCCCTGGATTCAGTCCCTAGTGGCCAAAATAATCATCATAATAATTATACTTTATGTCCTTTGTCTTCTCATCTTTCCATGCTATCTGGTGAGTTTTTCGACTGCATAGATATTTGCAGATTGGTATCTTTCTGAGTGGTCGAGAGGAAGGGTATTTTCTTGGGGCCCTGCCTTAAACCCTCTCTATAAACTTGATCTTATCAGCTGGTCCTTTCCCAGGGTTTTCTGGTGAAGCTCCAGAAGAAACACATTGAACCTGACAGGTCCTGGCACCTGGCAGTGAGGGAAGAAGGAAGACACAGAGTTTGCTTCTGGAGGAAAAGTGTTCTTGGCTTTCTCATGAAAGGGTTCCCCTCGGGGAACAGGCAGGTGGCAGTTGTTTGGACAATGGCCAACTGATCCACTTGGAGATAGATTCAGGGTGTGGTGTTCCTTGTAAGGCCAGCAGGTCTGGGAAACTGGAGCAGAGCTAAATCCTGGCCTAAAGTTAGGCAAGCTTCAGAGGAGCCTGGGTATGCCAGCTTCAGGTGTGTGAGCCTTGCTCTCTGTGAAGGGAGGGGGGACACTAAGGAGGGTTAATGTGTCTGTTGCCTGGGCATGTTTCTAAAATTATGATTATTTTCACTCATGAACATAGTACCTGGTAGGGAGACTTAGGTGGGGCCTTAAAGCCAGGACTCAATGCACCTTTTTAGTTTATTCTTTCAACAGTCCAAGTTCATCCTTAACTTTTCCACCTGTGGGCTTTGCCTTGTGCCACTGTCTTGCTAAATTACCTTTATTTTGGTAAACCTCTCAAGGTTTCAGACTACCTCATTCACTCCTCAAGAAACATTCCTCCATGCCTGAGGCTAAGATTCATCTCTTTCTTCTTTCTCACCCTAAGTGAATCAAATCTAGATTCACTCTGTTGGTCTCTGTAGACCATGTAGACTATTATGTTTATTTCTGTGACTGTTCTCAGTCTACCGGATGGGCAGTTAACTGACCTTCTTACTGTTGCTGTGCTGTCTGTCAGGAACTCTCTTCCCACCTCTGGATGTTTGCAGGCCAGTTCTTTCCCATCCTTCAAGTGTCAGCTCCAATGTCACCTCCTCAGGGAGGCCCTCCTGGACCAGCCTAAGTAGTCCACACCTCTACTCACTCTCTATCCTGTGTTATCATCTTCATAAAACTTAGTAGCCTCTGAAATGATCTACATTTATTGGTCTATTGACGTGGATTATCTGTGGCTCTTCTAGAATGTAAGCGCCTGGAGGCCAAGACTGTTGAATGAATTGGCGCATAGTTGGCACCCAATAAATTGGTTACACGAAAACAAGCATGGGATATTTGATTTGGCACCCAGATTGGGCGCAATACAGTTTGGCTGCAAGGAATATTTGCTAAGTGTATGACAGAATTAAAGAACGTCGGAATGAAGGAATGCAGCCCTCTGTCTGCTGACTGACAGACTGACAGTTGAGGACCCACAGCAGTTGATTGAGGGTTGACAGCTGAGTGGCAGCCGACAGGAGCACCGGGACTCCTGATTGGCTGATGCAGCAGCCCCTCGGAAGGGGGCGGGACAGGAGGGCCGAAGCGACCGCCGTGCTTGGGCAGGTGGGGCTGCACGCGACGGCGGGAGGCGACCCAACAGCCAGAGGCTGCGCCTGCAGCATTCGCCTCGAATCCAGGAGCCCGACGTCTCCGCGCATGGGCCGGGCGCGAGGGGCGGGGCGCGCGTCACGTGAGCGTGTTTTGGGCACGTGACCCGCGCGGAGCCAAGGCTCGCCCCCGCCCCGCCCTCCTCCCTCAGCGGGTGTGATCGGAGCGGCCTCGCCTCACCGCCTAGCGCCCCCCTCAGCCGCCGCTGCCGCCGCCGCCTCCGCCCGCCGGCCATGTCCCCCGGCCGCCGCCGCCGCCGCCCGAGCGCGGCGCTCCCGTGGCCCGGCGCGCAGTGAGCGCGGGCCCGTCTTGCAGTTCGCCCGCCCCGGGGCCCCCTTGTTCTCCGCGCCGCCGCCGCCGCCGCCATGTTGGGTTTAGAGCCGCAGCGGAGCCGCCGCCGCCGCCGCGGGTGAGGGAGGCCGAAAGCGGAGCCCGCCCCGCCCCGGGGCCCAGGGAGCGGGGCCGCCTCGGAGCCCGGCTTTTCCCCGCCAGCCGCCTTCCCGGCCGGCCCGGCTGTCCTCTAGCCGTACCAGCCGGCCAGCGAGCGAGTGAGCGAGCGCCGGGCCCCGGCCGCGCCTTCCGCTCCCGCTCCCGCTCCCGCTCCGAGCGAGCCGGGCCCCGGCCACAGCCTGCGGCGGAGCCCCGGACAGTCAGCGCCATGGCGGAGCAGACCTACTCCTGGTGAGTGCGGGGCTCGGGAGGCCGGGCCGCGGCGGGGTGGGGATTGGGACGCCGGCCGCTCGGGGGAAGAGGAGGAGGAACAGGTGCGTGTTGGGGGGCCGCCGGATGGGGGTGCACGCCCCCCTGACCCCCACCCGAGGGGCGGCTAGTGCTCGCGGAAGGCGCTGAGCGGCCGAGGGGACCGGCGTCCGAGAAGGGAAGGGGGATGGAGGAGGAGGCGGCTGCAGCGGCGGATGTCATCTGGCCATGGGCGGAGCAGGTGATGGAGAAGGGGAGCTTGACCCCGGGGGAGGGGGTGGGAATGCCTTCGCATGGGAAGTTGAATCGGATCGGCACCCCGGAACTGACTTGTGGGGGTGGCTCCTGGGCAGGAAGAAGCGAAAGGGTGGAGAGGGGCGGGCGGAGGCAAAGGTGGGCCACTGGGCTGAGAGGAAGCTCTGGTGAGAACAGGTGACAAGAGGCAGAACTTCCAAGTTGTGAAAGAAGAGCGGCCGCCTCCACCGTGGGCTGCTGCCTAGCTCCGGGATGGGGAGGGGAGCCCGCGGGGTCAGGGTTGGATAACCACATTTTGGAAAAGGAAGTCGTTGGTGGCAGCAGGGCAAGAGCAGAGGCTTTGTAAGGGTTGGAATTCTGTTCCTGAGAACTAGAAGTGTTCGGGAGCCTGGGGCCCATTACGGAGGTGGAGGATCAGCAAGTCCCCCATTCTGTGGGACCTTTGAAGTTGAGTAGCTCCTTAAGGAGTGGGAAGCACACTTAGAAATTTATGCCCCGCAAAGGGACTGCCAGGTTGTGGGGAAAGAGGAATGAGAGGCCTCCCTTTCCATGCAGAGGTGGAGTATTTGCGGGAGAGGTAGAGGGAGGACGGTAGTGCCCATGAGGAGTGGAGAGGAGCTAATGGCTTGAAGGTGAGGAAGCAAGAATTGGATGGTTATAGGTGTGGGGATAGGAGGTCTGGTTGCGATCTGGAGATGTTGTTTGAAGATGGTTTATTTTTTGAAGAACATGTGGTTCGGGACAGAACTGTCACTTCCTTTAGAAAAGAGCTCAAAGGAGTGGAAGAGCATGGCATTTGGTTTGGAGGTCCAGTTGGCTCACTAACTGGGCACTAAAAGTGGACTAGTGTTCTCTTTATGACTGGACAAGATAGTTGTTCATTCCTTTTTCCTTAGCTATAAAGTAGGGGAATTATCTTTATCACAGACTGCAAGGATTAAATGAACACTGTACAAAGCACTTGACAAATTGTGAAGTGCTGTATTTTACTGTGAAATACCAAAATAAAAATTTAATTATAATTATCATAGGGAAACATCAAGGAGATAAGGTAATATCCGAAAATAAAGAATGGTATGAGAATTCATTGTGTCTTCACGTATGGAAAGAGGGCTGGTGATTAAACATGAGCATTCAGAAGGTGACTTCAGTGATGTGTAAACAATTTCAAAGATAAGAGTTTGAAAGGAAGTAACTTCAAGAATTAGCCGGGCACTGGTGACTCACCTGTAGTCATAGATTTGAAGCCAGCTGGGGTAAAGAGTTCCAGAGACCCTGTCTCAAAAACCCATCACAAAATATGGGCTGGTGGAGAATTAAAATCTTTTGAACAGTCGTGCTGCACATATGTTTTAAAAGGACAAACTAATTGAATTCCAGTGATACAGAATACAGGATTACAGGTCAATCTTTCTTGTGGACAGATTAAGAAATAAAGGTAAAGGCAGGTCTGTCATGCCTGGTGATAACTCATCTAGAGCTTCTCCTACTCCATGAGGACTCACAGCTGAGTTCTGATAGCTGCCTTGCTGTACAGAGGCCATGGGTGATTGAAAAGTAGAAACAGTGGTCAAGAAATGGGGAGAGTGGCCAGGCATGGTTGTCTGTAATCCCAGCTACAAAGGAGGCATAGGTAGAACGATCAGATGGTATCTGAAAATAACAACTAAAGCAAAAAAGGACTGGGGAGCATGGCTCAAGTGGCAGAGCACCTGCTTTGCAAGCGAGAGGCCCTGAGTTCAAACTCCACTATCATCAAAAAAGAAAGAAAGAAAGAAAAAGGAATGGAGAAATCGAGAGTGTTTTTACTAGGTAGATTGATCATGTGATGGTAGTGGTAAGGGGGGATTACTTTGTGAATCTTGATAGTTTATAAGATTTATTCTACTAAAATAGTTCCTCAATCGAAACTCTTTCTACTTGGTTTACAGGCAAGGAAGCTCCCTAAAATCAGAATGCCAAGCCCTTCATCTCTAGCATGTTTTGAGATGGAGAGACCTTTTATATTTTGAGAGAGGGGTGTGTACAGGAGAGGGAGAGGAGTGGGAAACCAAGCTCCTAGCTGTTTTCCTAGTTTACTGTGAGTCAACCAGGGAGCAATATAAAAAACTATGTACAAAAGGCGTTTAAATACATTCATTTAATTCTCACAAGTCCCTGAGGTAGGGATATTTCCCTATTTTATAGAGAAGGAAAGTTAGGCTCGGGAAACCAAATGAAGTGTCTTGAATATTTCACTTGTAATTCTTTATTTGATGTGAATTCTCTCACTATTTTACCCATTCTCATTGAAATATAAAGATGGAAAAGGTAATCCAAAAGTATATGTAAACTGATTTTTGGATTATATGTCATTTTGCAGTATCTTTGTCACTCTTCCATTGGCTTGTGCAGACAAGTCAAGAATTGACTGATTTTTTTTTATTTATTTAAAAAAACACTATCTTTTTGGGTTTTTTTGGGGTGGTCCTAGGATTTGAACTCAGGGCCTCTTATTTGTTAGGCAGGTGCTTGAGCCTCACCCCCAGCCCATGTTTTATTTATTTGTATGTAGTCTTTAGGAAAAATCAACTGTGGAGACTACTGTGGTATTGTAGTTTTGTTTAGCTAAGGGTGGAGTCAGTGAGGAATGTCGAAGTGTATGAAAATAGGCTCCTTTTGGATTTCATATAATAAGATATGTAAATTATAGAACAAGATTGCTAGGAGTTGATAATTACTGAAGTTCAGTGGTGAGTATGGCTGAGGTTCATTATTTTGTTCTGTTGCTTTACACATGTTTAAGTTTTTCATCACAGTTTCATTTATATGGGGTGGAGACAGGAGGATCTTGAATTAAGGTCAACCCAGGGGAAAATTAGACTCTATCTCAAAAAAAATTAAAGGGTTGGTGGGGGGCATAGCTCAAGGCCTTAGGTTCAATCCCTAGAAATGCAAAATAATAACAGTAATAATAAAAGTTAGAAAAAGGCTTCTACCTTTAAGTCCATGCTGTTCTGACTTCTTGTGCTTTCTCTCTTCCTTGCATATTTTACCAAAATTCTGTTACCCAAGGGTCTAGTTCTCACTCTACCCATCTGTGAAGCATTTTCTGGCCACCCCATCTGAAAGTGGACTTTTTTTTTTTTTAATACTTACATTTCTGTCTGCATCACTCCTTTGTGTAAACTCCTGGAGAGTGAGGACCAATTAACATCTTTGAACTCCCATAGTGCTTAGCACGTTGTCTTGCACATAACCCCTGAGTGATTGAATATGACAGTAACTTCTCAGGATGGTTCATCTTTTGTTGAAAGAATATTAAGTATAAGGGAAAGCTACTGACAAATGAGTGTTTACAATCCATAAACTATACAAAGGAGAGCTTTGGGTAACTTGGTTTCCTGATGATCCAGTGCCCTAAGAATGAGGAATGCAATCCCTCGTTAAAGTGTCAAGTAAAAGCTATTGAAAGAAGAAATTAAAATAGTTGATAGTAACACCAGAATCTTCATCATGATTACATCCTTTTTCCTCACGTATACTAAGTAAAAGAATGCATGAGAAAACACAAATTGAAGGTGCAAACTAGACTTTTATTGATAAAAACACTTTCCTTCTTGTATTATGAGTAGTTTTAATGTAAATTCTTCAAGAAACTGGCTTGTCTCGATGAAGTTAGTTCAGTACTTGTATATGATTGTACTTCAACTTTGCTAAAAATTATGTTTGGGTTACTGTTTGTGTAGGGGGAAAGGACAGCAATCTGTTTAAATCCTTCAAATGAGTTTTGTTACCAACTGTCATAATAATTTATTGTGTATTTTCTGGGTGCTAAGATTTTACAAGCATTGCAAAGTAAGGAAACTGGGACTTACAGACTGTAACTTGCCCAAGGACACAAATGATAAAATGGCTCAAAATCAAGACTGTTTGACAGATTGTGACATTGAATCTGTTCTTATGTTTCATCACTCTAAGCCAGCTTTTATGTTTGAGTTTGCATCATGGGTTTCCTTCATTCTCTACACAGTGGTCATTCTCCTAAGTCAGAAGACCATGATAGCTGATAGTGACTTTTGGCCAGTTAGAGTAAAATGCAAAATCTTTAGTGTAGTTTTTTTAAGGTCTGGTTTTGTGTCATCTCTGAAAGATGGCAAACAATAAAGCAAGTTATATAAGGGAAAGAACTTTTTTGTATTGGTACTTTCTCCAGTGCCTAATAAAAGTTTACTGAACAGGTAAGTAAGAATGATTTTGCTTGTTCTACCTATCTTAAGATTTGAGTTCAGGGCTGCATTATATTGAGTCATATATTGTGATAATGGACATTGTTACGTCACATATTTGTAAATATTGCTAAACCTGAGAATGAAAAACCATATACATCTCCAGAACTGTTAGAGGTCACTTCTAATTTAGGATTATTGTTGTGTATCATTGTATCTGACTTGATCATTTATGACTGTAGCTGCTGGAAGTTTTTTAGAGAGAATCTTGTTGAAAACATATGTCCAAGATTATAGACTTTAAAAGATTTGCTCATTATTTTAAAAACATGTTTTGCCTATAGTTAAAGTGCTATGATAATGTTGTTTGGGTGATGTGTGATTTAAACTAAAATTAGCCAAAGCTAACACCATGAATTTGTATTTAAATTGCTTTCCTCAGTGTTTATTATGAAGTCTGTAGTGAAAAGAAGCTGAAGAGTTTGTAACCATATCAGCCTGTAATTATAAAGTAGTACT